TCTATCTATCTATCTATCTATCTATCTATCTATCTATCTATCTATCTATCTATCTATCTATCTTCCACACTTAGAAGACTAGGAGGGTGGGGGACTACCGAAATTCAGAGGAAAGGTATTCCATAGGTAGAGGCTGTCGCAGAAAAATCACACTTCCTAAATCCCATAAGCAACATTTAAAGGAATGGAATAGGAACATGCTCATCCTATTTGACCTGACGAGCCACGGTGGCGCCGTGGTTAGAATTCAGCACTGTAGGCTATTGCTGCTGGCTGGCTGCAATTTGGCAGTTCGAAGCTCACCAGGCTCAAGGTTGACTCAGCCTTCCATCCTTCTGAGGTGGGTAAAATAAGGACCCAGATTGTTGGGGGCAAGAGGCTGACACTGTAGACCGCTTAGAGAGGGCTGTGAAACACTGTGAAGCGGTATATAAGTCTGAGTGCTATTGCTATAAGATGATGAATGTCCTTAGGGAGAGGCAGTCCTGCAGTACCTGGCTCTGTGCCATATAGGGCTTAAAAGTAATAGCCAACACCTTGAATTCCACCCAGAATAAAATTTGGAACCAGTGCAGCTCACACAACAGAGGTCTTGGAGGTGCATAGTGGCCATGAATTTCTGCACCACCTCAGATCCCTGGCCCAGAGAAGGCAGATTTAAGCCCCCAGAACCATAAGATTGTAGAACTCCCCTGCTAGCCCAGTCAATGTCCAGGAGGACAAGCAGGGATGCTGCTACAGTCCAGGGAGGAAGGTAAGTGAGCAGCAATCCTTATGGCCCAACCTTTACAAAGAACATCCAGAAATCCCTTGTGCCGAGTGGCCACCAGTGACTCACAAATGACAACAGCCACACCCTCATCCCTGCCCTAGAGTCATAGTTGATGCCAGGGTCGAAACTCAGGAGGGCACCCTTCAGGAAGGGGAATCTTCCTTTGATGTCTTTGTTTCCTTTCTTCTCTCTGTCATTTTTATGACTATGTTATCTTTTAAACTCTTCTTCTATATTGTTGCCAAGAAAACAATGCGGGGTTTGTCCATAAATTTACCAGGAGTCTAGCTTCATTTGAAATTGGTTTTTATCTTTTCCCTGTTTCCTCTAAAATCGTCACTTTGTATGAGATGATTGAAATGACCGATGAAATCATAACATGGAAAAAAAGAATAGGATTGAATAGGCAAGATAATCGTCCAGAAATTTAAGTAACTTGATTGATGTTTAGAGCTGGAATTTATTGGTAGACAAATAAAACACTGGGTTGTGTTTTGCCAGTTCTCCTCTATAGGGTAGAAATATGGACCAAAATGACAGTTGGAAATGTTGAGTTACAAAAGATGGCCAAAACTATCTCATTTAGAATTTGGGCAAAATGTGACGGTCCTCCATAATATGGGAAAGATGGAGAAATTGTAAATAATATCCAAAAAAGAAATAGGAATATTTAGAACATACAATACACCACAAGAAATCCTGACTAATCTATCTATCTCACGCTGCAATCACAGAAGTAAGAATAAACCTTAAACACAATGCATGGTATCAGGCCCTAAACGCTCCTAAGAAAAGCTGTATCTTCAGCTTTTTCTTGAAGACATTGTTGGAGATAGATGAGTCTTCAGTGGGAGATGATTCCAGAGGTCCTGCCCCATCACAGAAAAACAACACTTCTGGGCTTTGCTTGGCCCCCCCTCCACTCCCAAAATTCCCCAAAATGGGAACAACCAGCTGCTTGTCCCAGCATGAAGTATCAGGCTGAATTAAGGTAGGATTATGTGGTCTTACAGTAACCAGGCACGAATCCATAAAGAGGTTTATGGATTGAAATCAGCACTATTTAATTCAACAGAGATTCAGCACTCAAAAACGATATATATTCTGGCTGAAATATTTATCTGCATGGTTTGGCAAAAAATGCATGTCCTTCTTTTGGACCAGTAACCCAAAATAACCAATAGTGCTGATAGTCACCAATGTCCAGTATTTGAATTTAAATTAATTATTGTCATTGTATGTATATACACAATATACATACAATGAAATTCACATACCCAGAGATCAGACCAACACGCGCGCACACATGACAATCCCCAAACACCCCACCCACCAAAATTCCCCGCCCCCTAAAAACACACAAGGATCCACACAACAGACCAAGTAATACTGTCCAACAGCTCAGTGATGTTGGTCCTTAAGTTCATTGTTAAGTGCAATTATAGCTCTGGGATAAAAACTGTTCAGGTCTGAAGTTTTAATTGTTCTGTATCTTCTGCCAGAAGGCAACAGTTCACAAAGATTGTAAGCAGGATGGGAAGAGTCTCTGAGAATGTTGTGCAACTTCCTCAAACAGCAAGATGCGAAGATGTCGTCCGGGGCTGGTAGCTGGAGCCGAATGATATTCTGAGCAGTTTTAATGATTCTCTGTAGAGCTTTTTTGTCCGCTACAGAGCTGCTCCCGTACCATGCAAGAGTGCCGTATGTCAGGACACTCTCAAAGGTGCTGCAGTAGGACAGAAGTAGATGCTGAGATAGATTTATCTTCCTGAGCGTTCTCAGGAAGTACAGCCTCTTCTGTGCCTTCTTCACAAGCATGTTAGCATTCATAGTCCATGAATGGTCATCCTTTCTTCTGAGGTTGTCTTCTCCCTCTCCCTCTAGTGTCATTATTTCACTGGACATTTAGTAGGAAGTGGCTCCAATGTTAGTATTTCATGTATTTGAAAAATTATTTACTGTAACAAAATAGACATGCAACGCCAATGTAGCCATTTCTTTATCTCTTGTTACTTCTTTTTGTCAGATACAGTGAACTTCATGTATACACACGTATTTCACAGATGCACTGCCCAAGGACATTCAGCTCCCTGAAAGTGATAACAAAATGGATTATTTTTTCACTATTGCTCCAAAATACAGATTAGAGAAATGGAACTAAGCTACCTTCGAGAGGCGAACCAATCCAAACTCCGACTTTTTTTTTTTTTTTTTACTTTTCTGCCATCACATTTTATGTTCATAATCATTCACGTTGTTTAAAATTTTCAGTCCGTTGTTCTCAATAGGATGGTAGTATTAAAAGAGACAAGGAAATGGCTCTTGTCCTGCCAGTCTGAAAGATATCAGAAGGGAATCGGCCCCAACTGGGCTAGGTGCCTGTTTCAGTTTTCCAGAAAAAATATATTCGGAGATTAATAAAACACCACCTGTTATTCTTCAGCCTGGAAGTGACTTGCTCGATTCCTCGGGGGTGGGGGTGGCATCGCTTCAGTTGCAAATGCCTCTCAGCAGCCCCATTGTCTTTGTTTTGGTTCGCAGATAACAGAACTGAAGGCTGACCTGCAATACCAGGAATCCCAAATGAGGGTGAAAATGAACCAGATGGAAAAAACTCACAAAGAAGTTACAGAACATTTGCAGGTAATCTTGATTTCATACGAGTATTCACAGGACTCTTTTTTTTTTTTTTACACGAGTATTCACAAGACTCGTTAGACTTGATTGCTACACCGTGCTGTGCCAAAATGTGGTGTTGGTTTTTTTCCCTCAGTTTTGGCTTGATGTTCAATGCATCGCATGAACCCAGCCATTGTGGTTTATAATATCCTGTGTTATGAAAGTGGTTCCAGTCTCAGCAACTCAGGTTGTGTGGACTTCAACTCCCAGAATTCCCCAGCCAGCATGGGCTTGTTCCTGCGGTCACTAGGAATCAAGATCCAATTTGGGTCAGTCATCAGGACCAGAGATTTAATCTTCTGAGTTTTTGGACTCGTGCTGGAGTCTGTCAGAAGTTCCCTGAGGATGGGCTCTAGCAGGAGTCCAAAAACTCCGAAGATTAAACCTCTGGTCCTGGTAATTGACTGCAATGCTATCCCGGGATCCATATATTTGCCTTCATTCTCCAGGAATCAGGTTTAATTCACGAGACCAAAGCAATGGTAAACCACAGATTAGCAGTATGCAAATCCAGCCGTTTTGGCTTACTCCAGGGTAGTTAGCCATTGCTTAGCATACTGAAATGCACATTTTATTCACACCTCTCTTCCCTTCTTCCTGCAGGCCAAGAACCGAGAGCTCCTGAAACAGGCTGCAGCTTTGTCCAAGGGCAAAAAATCAGAGAAATCAGGAGCAATAACTTCCCCTTAAATCCAGGCAATCTCTTGCCCTGAGATGTCTGGGGTTTAAAAACCCCTGGGCTCCAGAACCACACGCAGATAGTTTACTCTTGTGGACATGATAGAATCCTTTGAGACTGGCTCTTCAACAGAGTTCCCCAGTGCTGGCTTACAACATCTCCTCCTCCTGTCACAGTACAGTGATGAGAATGATTGGGAGTCTTGGTCCTCCTCTCCTCCAAGCTCAAGAACAAGCCCTCTGTAGCTCAGATACTTCTCTCCAACCATTTTTACCATCCCTGCCTTAGGACCGATGAAGCAAGGCGGCCTGTTTGCCGATTGGATCCTTCACAGGGTCCTGCTTTTTTTACTACACAAGAGACCTAAGGTGGCAAGAATCAGGTTTTCAAAGAATTTATAAAGCATTTTTTAAAATGAAAATTCTGCCTATTTGGGGGGGTGTCTACCCCTCCATCCTTAAGGACAGCTTGAGACTTTTTATCCTAGGTTTGTAAATTGAGAACGGAGCTTCAATCAGCAATTTTCTCTCCAGCTTCTAAAAACTCAAGAGTTTCTCGGCAGAATAGTTGAATATGGAGGCCAGCGGCTATGAATTAATGTTTTGGTCATGCTTTTATGCTTCTTTAGGTAGCATAGTTTTTTAGGCTGGTTCAGCAGCTCCTTTTTGTCATTGATTCCGTTTGGAGTGATATCAGGAATCAGAAGTAGGTTAACATTACTTTTCGGGTACATGGGGTGACTTAGTAACAAGTGTGTACATCTATGCAGTTTTTCTGAAGAATTAAAAAACAACCATTTTGACTTCCTTGGCAGGAGGATAAAAGGAATTAGGGGAAATGCTGAAACTAAAGGACAAAGATTTTTTGAAATCTTGATATTAAAAAAAAAAGACACCCTCAAGTCAGGTTTATGTGGCTTGGAAGAAAACAAGACAGCTTTAAGTGCCTATAAAGGTAGAGATGAAAAGAATTCAATGAGTTTTCCAGCTCTGGTCCCTCGCTGAATTTTCTGGGAAATGGTAAGTGTTCAAAAGCAATGAGAAGCTAGTTTGTTTTCAGTTTGCTCCGGGCTGATTGAATTGGAGGGGAGGAGAAAGGGGAATGAAGAAAATCATTGCAAAGAAATGCCTCACGCAGCAGTTTGAGATGAATTAATCACCTTTTTTATATATAAATCAGAAGAAACCTGTGCTACTGTTTAGTTTCTGATGCCCATCTCTTAAAAAAAAAGGAAGACAACCTTGGATGAGGAAGCATGCAGAAATTGACGCTGTAATTCAGGTTATTTATTTTTTGATCTTGTTTGCTCTTTTTGGTAAGAACCCATTGCCTAAGAGAGCATACTAAATAGAACCTAATTTTTATACTTAATATATATTTTTAGGAAGAATTGATTCATAGAGATTTAAGTAGGTTGTTTTTCTAGCTATCTTTCCCCCATCCCATCCCCCCAATTAAGAAAATGATATTTCTGGAACAATTGAGGTGTTTTTCCCTTCATTATGACAGTTCAATCATGCATTAAAGTGGGTGGTTTGCTGTGAAGCTGTTCTTTCTGGAATATATTAAGTTGATTTGTACAAAAGACATGCTAAAATACGCATCTGGGGGAAGGGGGGAATCTTACAGCAGCTTTTTGGTTGGATATTTTGTCTATAGCTTTCTGGATCAGTCCAGCCAAAATAAGCTTTATTTTCTTTCTCTCTGAACTTGGGCCTGGTTTAAGTATTGCTGTCCTCATGAAACACAAAGAGCTTTGGTGCTAGGGTGAAATTCACTGTCTGTAGCAAATTAAACCCTTTTTTCCCCATAATTAAGATGTGTTGTTTGGTGTGTCCTCTTAAATCTTCTTTTCCTATCTCTGTAACTGTTGTTATTGCTTTAAAATGGCAAAAGCTTCTTGGGATTTTAATAGACTGAGCTGTTTCCTACCTGCACTACATTTGAAAAGTCTCTCACTTTGGCTAATGAAGTTGACATTTCCTGATCAGCATTCTTCACACCACACCCCCATGACCAGAGTGATGTTTCATAAATTAAGCAGATATCTATGCATATGATAGAAGGGCATAAATGACAGTTCCTTAGGGAAATCCATACCCTCATCTGCTATGGACTCCTTCAGAAGGTCCACAACAGATGAGTAGCTGTCCCCACCCTTCGCCAACGCAATGATGAAGAAAAATGTGTGATGTGGCAGATTGTGGGGGCCATCAAAAGGAAAGTATACATTCCTGGAGTGATTATGAGCCTTGGTGGCGCAGTGATTAGAGTGCAGTACTGCAGGCTATTTCTGCTGAATGCCAGCTGACTGCAATTTGGCAGTTCAAATCTCACCAGACTCAAGGTTGACTCCGCCATCCATACTTCTGAGGACCCAAATTGTTGAAGGCAATATGCTGACTTCGTAAACTGCTTAAAGAGGGCTGTAAAGACTATTGCTATTATAAGTTAATAGTAACTGTTATTTGTTTCTGTGCAGGTGCCTGCACAGAGGCTAACAGATAACAGATAATCAGAGTTGGAAGGGTCCTTGTAGATCATCTAGTCTAACCCCCTGCCCAAGTGGGAGACCCTACACCATTTCTGACAAATGGCAGTCCAGTCTCTTCTAGAAAGTCTCAAGTGATAGTGCTCTCACAACTTCTGAGGGCAAACTGTTCCATGGGTTGATTGTTCTCACTGTCAGAAAGTTTCTCCTTATTCCCAGGTTAAATCTCTCCTTGTTCAGTTTCCATCCATTTGGCTGAGGTCAGAAAACCTAGGCAGAGATGTACTTTAATGGGAGTTCCATGGCAAACCGCCAGAAAAAATCCCAGGTGTGTGAAGATTAGACTGGGAATATAAAATACATCCTTGAAGCAGGGCCTCAATTCTGTATTATTGCCAAGAAAGCTATATTGTAGAACTCAGGTAATTAGCAGAGGGTCTCAACTTAGGGACATTCTTACCTGCTTATACCTGTTCCTTGTCATATCAAGTGCAATGGTATACGTGGTGCATCCTAACTGCAGGAAAGGGCAGGTAAGGTTTATGAGATGTGGGGGTTTGGGTTTGTTTTGTTTGTTTTTGCTTTTTGTTTCTTAAAAAAAAGGCCCCTGAAATCTTTCTGTGGGAAATTAGTGCAAATGATTGATGTCTTAAAATTAAGGAGCTCCATTCTCACAGAGATAAAAAAATTAAAAATAGAATGAAATAGAAAAATAGGATTTTAAAGCATAATTTTAAGGAAAATGCCAACAGTTTAATTATTTCCATCAGTTCTGTTCAGAATATTTTACAAATGATGGCAATGGTTAACATAGATAACAAATGACAACCTTTGAATAAATGTGTCCTTCAGTGTAAGGTTTTTAAAATGGTTGTTTGGTTACTTTTTTAGCAAGAACAATTTATGAGGCTTAAATACCTCTGAAAGATGTAGTTTCACTTTCCAGTATTTTGTGAAAACAAACAAAAGAAGTTGAATCATATATTTATCTGCTTAAGGAAATGTGGATAAAAAATCAAAATCAGAATTCATAATGAAATGTTGAATGCTTACTGCTTTCACAGTTGCTTCAGACTGTTTTCATTTTGTTGTTACAAAAATTATAGTTTCTTCACTAACACAGTCCAAAAAATGAATACATTGAAATGGAGTATTGTGCCATTTATGGATTATTTCCATGATCATTTTTTGATGTCTTGCTGAAATAAATTTAAAAGGAATTCCATATTGCAAAGAGTTTGAGCAAGCTTTATTGGACTTCAGATCAGTGTCTCAGAGGGTTTAAAAAAAAATTAAGAAGAAATTATCACTGATAAAGTTCTTTTGGCATTAAATGAAGTTGATGTACATCATTGTTCAAATATTAATGGTCTTAATTGATGAGATTTAGAGTTTGTATAGAAATGACTGAACTTGGCTTAGTCATAGCCCATTTAAAACTTGTGACCATTCCTTTTGCAAAGTATATTCAAAGTAACAGCATAATCTTCAGTTCTGTAAAATCCCTATTCCTTGTGCTAAGTAAATTTATCCTCATAGTTGAGAACAGTAATTGGAGAATAAGAAAATATCCGTCACTATTAATAGATTGTACCTTTCTAGACTACTTAAATAATGTTTGAGGATTTTGGGATAGTAGATGATTAATGTCTTTGTATTCAGGTGAAACAGTATTACGTTAATCAAATCCAGAGGGAGGATGTATTTATCCTTTATTATTTTAATATTTAATCATTTTTCATTTTAGCTCCATAGCAACAAAAATAATATTCCAAATCGGGTATATCTAAGCCTCTCTCATGTTTTTATTAATATTCTGTGGTCAAACTAATTTGTTTATCACTGTATATAATTGAAGGAAAAAGTAACTTGCCAAATATGAAATCAAGTAGGCAATAAATTGGGATGCCTAGAATAACAGAACTTTGGAGGAAAAGACATTTTAAGCTATGTTACCAAATAATGAGAGCCGAAAACATTGCCCTGACTTAAATCCTCTTTTAATCTTGCGCAGAAAAGAATAATTAATCATTAAAGCTTCTTTAGCTGGTGCCCATTGTTTGAAAAACTATGCCCATTTAAACTCACACGAATTAACATAAAATCCAGTAACCTTTAAAGCCCATTTTATGTTTGCTTAATAGTAATTAAACATATTTATTTAGTTTATTCTGCTATTCTGTGCTAATCATTTTATAGTAATATTCAACAAAGTAGGTTCAATCACGTTTATTTGGAACTTTTTATTTATTTACAAAACAAATCTGCATATAATCGATAGTAATTGCTACTCAACATCTTCAGAGCCCAGGAATTAAACCAACTACTTATTTAGTTTGGGGGGGGGGACGGGGGGGACAATCTATTCCTGGTTATCTTCCTTCATCTCCATAAGTTCTGAACCAATCAATCTACAGTTCCCATCATGCCTGACCTCAGGTATGCTCCTCTTCACCTGTCACACAGCTGGCAGCTTCCCTGGCTCTCTACTCCAATGATAGGATGGGTTGCATCAGCCAGCAAGAGCTGGGTTTTTGTTTATTGCTTAGCTTTGCAGTCTGTCCCATGCTATATAGCAGGATTAGAGCAGTGAGCTCATTGGGAAAGGATGGCATGCTGTCTGCTGGATACACTTCCAACTGTACTGTCTGGTAACTGGCTTGTCACAAAGAAATGGTAAGTATGAGAGTCATCCAGAAGATTAAAAAGTATAGTGGGATAATCATTAAAGGAATATAGTGGCCCTTAATTCTAGAGTATGGTCAAGCAGCATGGCGGTTTAGAAGTGGAGTTCTCACCTCAGTCAGGAGGCTGTGAGTTCGGTCCTTAGGCAGCAGCAGGTATTTCTCTGTGTGTGTGCAAAGATAAAGTATCTGCTGTGAACTCTACATAGGCATCAGGAAGGGCATCCAGCCAGTAAACGCTCAGCTCCATCCAATGGCCTCTACTCCCCCCGCCCCATGCAAGGGATTATAAGGTCATTAAAAGAGAAAAATTCTAGAGTGTGACTATTCTGCCCAATTCTGAGGCCTTAACTGGGATTTTCAAGCTCTGCGAAGCAGGTCAACCTAAGAGATCAAAGGAAAGATCCAAAAAGAAGCAATGGATACCAGGGTACTGATTTGTATTCACCATCCCTCGGGTCTTTCTTAAAATGGTTTGAAAAGTAGACGTGCTTCAGAGGCTCTTGTGTTGGAACTGCATAAGATGCTTGTCCCACTTGATGATTCCAGAATTTGTCCTTTCAAAGAGATGGGTGTGATGCTTAAGATTGCAATAAGCAAATGATATACAGGTCAGAGAGAACACAAATAATAAAATGTATTAAATCCTAAAACACCACTCTGTAGTTTTCATTTGCAGATCCTAATTGATGTTGTTAACCTTGAATGTAAAAACAAAATGATTCCAAAGTAGCAAACTATCTAGAAATTATGCTTCCTTTTTTATTGGCTTCTCTCTGAGAGATTTCTCAAGGCCAAAAGGTGCTTAGCCAACCAATGACCAGTCCCTGGTTCTTGCTTTGAGTGAAACACAACCTAGAGCTTTGAACTGAAATGATAAAAAAACAGATGTTCTTGGACCGTTTACAGCAAGATTATATAGAATAAAATATATAGGTATACACTTTAATAGGCATTTCTCATATGCCATGTGTATTCATTGCCAACACTCATTGTAGAAGTATTTTTTCCAAAGGAAAGCGCTGCTATTTTTAAGATACTAAATGGTCTCTTTCCAGTTTCTCTGTTTGCATGATTGAGCCAAAAATTCACAGTGCAGAACATAATGAATTGATAAGGAAATTGATGAAGACATCAAAAAGAAAGAAAGTTTATTTTTCTCCACCCTCATTTATTTTAGATGAGCCTCTCCAGAGCCAGTCCTGGAAACTTTTCCTGCAGTGTTTCCATGTAGAGCAGAAAATAGCAACTATTTCATGGCTGAGTCAATGCAATATGTC